CTGTAGCGAGGTCCCCTGCGGGCTTGTCTACACCTGTGTCTCACCCTCAGAAGACAGTTGTGAAGACTTCTCGGCAGCCTTCTCAGCCTCGAGCTCGGCATCGATCTCTTGTAAAGTTTGATCGATACTCCTCTCGGCGATTGGCACCTCGGAAGTTGTCTTCTGGGATGAGGCACCTTTGGAGACTTCATCCTCATCCTGAGTCAAGTCCAAGACTTGCTCATTCAGAGTTTGGGACTTGGCCCTCGCAGTTTCTACCGTCTTTTCGGCCTCAGCTTCCTCTTCAGATTCAGCCTCATCCTCGGATTGGCTTGGAGTTAGGGGGAACGGCACGACGATGTGGCTATTTTCTCGGAGAGGCGAGTCCTTGGGGACGGCCAACTCCTTCAGAGCAGCCATCCAACCAGGTATAGCCCTTGTTGCATACCTGCCTGACTTGTTTCTTGTAATCTTCTCTGACATCGGCCGCCGCCTCGGCGTAAGCCTTCTCGTCCATCGCTTTGATCTCGGCCTCTTTTGTGGCCAGGCCATCTTGAAGCTCTTTTTGGGCCTCGACCATCTTTGCCTCGACCTCTTTCTTTTCGGCCACAAGAACCTTAACAATGGATTGTGTAGCGTCAGCCTTTTCCTCGACCTCGTCCTGAGCTTTCTTGGTTGCGTCGGCCTGATTTGTCAAGGTCTTTATCTTTGTCTCAACCTTATTAATGGTCTTTTGCAAGCCAGCAGCCTCCCTGGTCTTGTTGGCCAACTCCTTCTTGATGGCAAAGGCTTGCATCGCAAAGGAGTGGCCATACTGAATTGCCTAGAAGAAATGGAAAAAAACAAGTTAGTAAAACTCTCTCAATATAAAATAGCAGAAAATGAAAAAGTACCAAGTGTTAAGGGATTACTTGGACGGAGTGTTGCAATATTAGAGCGAAGTTTTCATACTCGCTGAATTCGGCGTTGCGATTGAGATCTTTGGGAAGGAGCAAGGCAGTAGAGAGAGTAACGCCGACTTCAATGTCGTCAGCGTTGTCACCATCCCTAACCGACTTGTTCTCGATGGTGATTGGAGGGGCCCAAGGGGCATCGGATTTCATAGACCCCGTGGTTGTAGCGGGTTCAGACCTCGGCCTTTTTGACCGCGTTGACTCAGAGGGAGCAGCCTCGGCGGGCCTTTTTTTGGCAGCAGAGGCACTTTTCTTCGCCTCGGCAATTTTGGAGATCGGCAAGGTATCCTTAGAATCGATCTGAGTTACCGTTGCTTTAGGCTAGGCCTTCTTCAGTCTTTGGGCTTTGGCTTTGGTTGAGACTGGAATGGAGAAGGTTAAACGTTGGCAGTGTCAGGGATGTCGAGCAAAAGATCATCTACAACTGCTTTCTTGCGACCCATCTCGGCAGCGACTGTAGTTCGGCGTCAGCGCTTGCGTTGAGATGGAGGGATCAAATGTGGAGCCAAGGTTGATGGTCCCTCAGCTAGATCGGAAGTTGATCCCTGATCTGGCCGGGGTGATGAAGTTGCTGGTGGAGTTGTGGAGGAAGGAGGAAACTTGTTCTTTTTCTTCGGGGCGTCGGGCAAAACGGATTTGTAGGTTGGGATGTAGTTGAGCAATAAGGGAGCTCTCCGCCTCTGAACTGGCAGATCCAACCGCTTCTTGAAGTCCTTGCTAGGGAAGAAGGACTTACGAAAGTTTTTTAGCGGCTGTGGAAGAGCTACAAGAAAAACAGACGTTAGAACATATAGAAGGAACAAAGTATTAAAGACTTGAAAAGCAAGTGTAACACTTGGGTCTTACCATTACCCTCTATGAATAATGTACGGCTAAGAGGGTAGAGGTGAAGGTCCTCATCTGGAGCGAACTCCCAGTTGCCCAAGACAATGAAGTAATTGTCCCCGGCTCCCTTGTTGGAGTCTGGGAGGTTGACAATAAGTTTGTATTCTGTGGATCTCGGTTTGAGGTAGTAGATGTAGCCTTCTTCTAACTTGTGGCCACACATGGTATAATAGTACTGGATATCGGCAAGAGTAACCCTAGTGTTCTCTTTTTTGGCTAAGGCTATTATGCCATTGATAACTCGGTAAGAGTTGATAGCGAGCTGCATTGGGTTCAATTTGTAGTAATGGAGGACTTCTCGAAAAAGATATCAAGAGGGAGCCTAAGTCCATACTCTATGAGGGCTACAACTGGGAAGGGCATGGAGTCGACTGTGGGCATGATGGAGTCATCCTCCCCAGCCAACCTGAGATGGACGTCGGCCGGGATATCAAACTCCTGCCTGAAGAATTCTAACTTAGTTGGGATGTCAACCCTATACCTCCACATGCCCATGATGTTGGCTTGAGGGAAGGTGTTGGCTTTCAGAAGGAAGTGTTTTGTGAAGGTTTGAAGTACCTCAGCTAAAACCTAAATGTGTGCTGGGGTAAGAATTTGTGAGGATCTAAGGGGAATCCGTTTCAGTTTTTCCTAAGATTCGTGTGTTCTACAACAAATCCCAAACCTAAGTCTAGGCAAACAAAGATTGAAGGCATGAATCTGGAAAAAACACAGAAAACAGAAATAAGAACAAAGATTCAGAATCAAGAATAGTGATAAGGTTTGTGCAGGTGTGTAAGGCCAAGAACAGTGGCAAAAATCAAACAGATATGTAAGCAATGTGTATATACACAGGAAAAGATTGGGCGAAACTAAAATCATGAGGCAAACATGCCCTTATACGTGATTGAATTCAATGTACAAATGAAGGTACAAGAACATGAATAAGGTCACAGCAGCAGAATATAAAACGTAACAGTTTGAGGAGAAGCAAGAAATTGAAACAAGAGGAACAATGACTCACCGAAGAAAATGAAGCCGGTGTTGAGTACGCCAAAGTCAGACGATGGCGGTAATCAGAAAAGATCAGCAAAGGCTTCGCCGGAAGGAAAGAATGAAAGTAGTTGCAGAGCTTGAAGGTTTGAAGCAATGGCGGATTTAGGAGAGTAGAGAAAGAGAGAGTTTGCACGAAGACGATGGTGAAAAAAGTGAAAAGACGGAGAAAGAGAAGTAATTTTGTTAAAACACGGAATGGCGGCAAAATGGTAATTAATGCGCCTAGGACGACGTGTTTGTCAGACGGCGCACGCATGAGCGATGCGACTTAAATGTCACATGTCAAGTACGACTCAGTAGGGGAAAGACGCGTGGCAGAAACAGTTGAAATATTGTGCGTGATAGCTCATACGCATGTTGAAACTCTTGAAGTTCTTAGTTTAATGAAGCAAAGACCTCGGCTAGGAGGATGATCCCAGCCAAATAATTTGAACCGACTTGGTTATTTGTTCTAAAGTATTGATGAAAATAGATTACAGGTCTTGGTCGTATGGGGCCAACAAATGATGACCTCGGTAATGAAGGATAAAACGAGCTTATGCGACGTGCTAAAAGTAAGCCTTGATATAAGTTCCGTCACCTCATGATGCTGAGGTAATAGAACCTAGGGTGTAGTTGTGGGGACATAATTTTTATATGACAACACGTGGCCGAGGTGGCATCGAAGTGTCAGCTGAGGTGCCACGTGTTCTGGTCATGATGCCGAGGTAATCTCGGCTAGGCCGACGTTATCTGCGAAGATACCGAAATCCAGGATAAGCGGATAAAGGACAAGAGTCCTAGAATTGGAGAGGACTTTAGTTTGGATAAAGATAAGACTCTTAAAGAGTTTATCCCAATCTAACTGGGAGTCCAGGATTAGAATTGAGACAGAATCCATTGGAGCTAGGCTTCTATTGGGATTAGATCAATGTTGGCTATAAAAGAGAGGCACCATCATGGGTCTAAGGTACGCTTTTTGTATTCTGAATAATGAGGTAAGCACTTTTGCTATCTTTGAGAGATAACTGACTTGATCGTCGGAGTGCCCCCGGGTGGACGAACCACTGCCGGAATCTCTTCTTTTTGTTGCAGGTCGTTTGGGCACAATCTATTCGACCAGTATTTACCAGCTGAGTACTAGGTTGACAGTGTGGTCAAAAATCTACTCACACAACCATCAAACTCGTTACATTGGTGTGGAGTTTGGAGCTCCAGAACAGATTGAGATTCTCCGAAATCAAAGCCTTGCCCACTTTGCTATCGACCCAAAAACCCTCGACTGTCTTCTTGATGCAAATAACATTGAATTTCTTGGTCAGTACGGTGGCGTAGAAGGGATTGCATCGGCCCTAGAAAGCAATCTTGAAATGGGTATAAAGGGTGATGACCAAGATCTTTGTCTCTGCCATAAAATGTTTGGTTCAAACCTATTTTGTGAAGATGGTGATCAACTAGTACTAACCACAACACAATCCTATTTCAAGCTCACCTTCAAATCTTTCAAAGAGCCCACCACAATCCTACTCTTGTGCTGTGCAACGCTCTCAGTTGTATTCAGCGTGCTCAAGTAAGGGATCCAATATGGGTGGTGTGATGGAACCATGATGTTCTTTCTTGTGTTTGTTAGTTTCTTTGTCAAGCTCTACAAAGAAAGAGCTCGTCTAAGTATGTCGACGATTGCCAAAAATAACTTGGCGGTCGTTGATGTCATGACAAAAAATTCTCTCTTCTCAAGTCACGGTTGGTGAAATTGTGATCTTGAAGACCAGTGATATGGTTCCGACTGATGGGTTGTTCAAAAAGGGCAGTTCTTCGTTCAAGCTCTATGATGTTGAAAATGAAGATCTAGTTGGTGTGGATTACTATCGCTTCCCAGCGATCCACGGAGACACAGAGGTGGTGGTCGGAGGCTGTCACATGATCGTGATATCGGTGGAAAAAAACGCAGGTGGAGCATGTTGGAATGTGTCCCACATCGCTTGGAGTTGCCCTATCTGTGCTAGTTATAAGGCTCTAATTTCCCTCTCCTTAATGCTTGGGTTTTAAGGAGAAGTGTGGACTAGGTTTTCCAACTGAACAAGATGATGAACCACCATAATTCGCGGTGGTTGTTTAATATGGACAAGCTAAGCATGAACATGGAAAAGATCATGCTCGGCCTCTCCTTGGTTCTTCTTATGGTGCAGTTGCTATGCTATTTGTCAAAGAAGAGGACCAACAACAATGGAATTCACATCAAACAACACGAGGGAGAGTCTAAAAGTATTATGAATACGTCCATGGAAGAGCTAATAAGCGACGCCATCATAGTTTTTAAGAAAAACAGCGGCATATTTAGTAGAATAATTGCTTTTCTTGGAGTGGTGTTGATGGCAGTAAGAGAAGGTTTGAATTTAGGGATTTTCACCACTTTCTTGTATTAAAAAAGAAGGTTAAAGATTGATCATCAAGCCATCATTACAAACCTACCCGCCCTTGCAGGATTAGGATTGATCACCACCATCTACACCTGCGAAACCGTTGACCTGGCTTTAAGCAAAACAAGTATGGCGGATCTTTGGATGGGTGGGAAAATTGTCAAGGAGGCGACAATGGAGCTAACTCATGAACTCCTCGATGCTTTACGTGAAGGGGTTGGCCACGTCACCGGGTCTGGTTCTTTCGAGGATGCTTTACTTTGTTGGGCAAAGCTGTTATTCGGCGTTAAAATAGAGGAGTTGGTGCAAAGTTGCACTATTCTTTACACTGAAGAAGAAGAAACCTCTACTGATGGGAATTGTTGCGGTTTATTGCTGAGGAGGAACGGAGATAATAAGAAAAACATCATTCACATGCACTGGAGAGGCAATTCAAAGATCGTGCTACCCATGTGCTCACACTTCTACTCGTTGGACGGGTAACAGAATTACATATATGAAAACCAAAGAATTGCTTTTGAGGAAATCGGTGAGCGAATTGCAAGTGATTGTGTTCATTGCGTTGCTTTTACTTACAAACAAGTTTTAATGGAAGAAGGAGGAGGAGGAGATGATGATGCTGATGCTGATGCTGATGAGGAAGAACCACCCCCAAAACTCATAAAACAAGAAGATGACCTTGTTGATGATGATGATGATGAAGAACCACCAAAATTCATAAAACAAGAAGATGATGATGAAGAGCCCCCAAAACTCATAAAACAAGAAAAACAAAAAGAACAAGAACCCCCAAAACTCATAAGGCAAAAAATGACATTGTTGGGTTTTGTGGGATTGAAGACTCCATACCAGGAAGACCTAAAACAGGCCGTCAAAACTTGCCGAGAAGCTGGAGTTAACGTCACACTGATACTAAATCATGACAAAAACATTGCAACTTTCATGGGTATCAACAGTGGAGTTCTCAGCCGTAGCGATGACATCAGTAAAACAGTAGTTGAAGCTTCCGAAATCCGAAACATCCCGGAAAATGACGAGAGCCACCAGAGGAGTGTCGATGATATTCGGGTACTCGTAAATTCCTCCCCATCCGACAAGCTTCGATTGATCCAGTACTAGAGGCAACGTAGCAAAGTAATAGCTGTCACCGGCCAGAGTACCAGAGATTCCCCCGCTTTCAAAGAAGCCGACATCGGGTTCTGGATTGGAGACGGTGTGCCAAGGTGGTGGCGAAAGAGAGCTCCTCCGACATTATCATGTTTTGCAGTTATCAAGCGTGGAAGGTTTGTGTATACTGCAAAACTATATCTCTTCATGCTTTGGTATCTATACAAAAGCTTTTTTTTTTTTTTTGTCTATCTATATTATTACTTATTACTTATTATCAATCAAATGATAAAAAATTTCATAATACATTTCATGATCCCTAATATTATTCCTATTATTGTTATGATAATTTTTTTTACTAGACTAACAATGGTTCCTGAGTATGATTTTGTTGTACAAAAGCGAACTAGAAAGTTCTTTTTATTTTGAGACCAATCAACTCAATGCAAAAGGAGAAGTATGTACCATTACCAAAATAGTGCTTCAACCATTTTACAGACTAGTGTCGATGTACTATTAGTATTTTTTTTCTAATAGACCTGCAATTTTTCCAATAGGTTTGTGTATCACAACATGGAGAAATTTATCCAGCTCCACCTAATCGTCAACATAGTCGGAGTCGCTATCAACTTAATCGCCACCATACCCTCTGGCAACACGCCGCTATCACACTTGGCGCCTTCGCTCTGGCCGCCTCCGATCCACCTCCAGGGGAAACAATTCCATTGGCATCAGCACTGCTGCCATCGAAGGCCATGTGGAGAAATGTATTGGTTCAAGTTGTGTACCAGATTGGGATTCTTTTGATGTTGCATTTCAAGGGAAAAACTATTCTCCATGTTGATGATGATGTCAAGCAACAATAGATGTGATTGTCTTCAGCACTTACGCCATGTTCCAGGTTTTTGGTCTGCTAAACGCCAGTCAAATAGAGAGGAGGAGGTGGAGGAAGGGGAAAATATTTTCCTGGAAAAACTTTTCCTAGAAAATTTATAGAAATCGATGGTTTGTGGGGGCAGCGGGGGCCACCGTCATACTACATTCGGTGGCGATGGAGATTGCAATGGCTAAGCTCTGTGACAACAACGACAAGATGAGGTTTAGATTCCAGAAAGTGGCTTTTTTGCACCGGAGTAGCAGCACTGTCTTGGCCCATTGGCTATGTTACCAAGAGTATTCCAGTTTGCTGATGGAGCTGGAGAGGAGAGTTCGGCATTGGTGGGCTTAATCTGGATCATATTGATAATTCAAATTGTTAATATATGGAATTCATTGAGTATATTATTTTACAAAAAACCACATTCAATGTGTATATTGATAATCACGTGATTAGATCGTGTTTATGTCGTAATTTACTTCGAAAATTATATTTGAAAATTGGTTTGAAAATGCAATGTGATCAAATAGTTATCGATATCCAATCAATTTGATTTTTTGTAGAGATAATAAACCTAACGAGTTTTATATATTAACGGTTTAAATTATTGATATGAATTGTAATTAAGGCCCACCAATACCAAACTCTCCTCTCCAAAAGGAAAACAAAATTATTAACAAAAATGTTAGAGATTTCAAAAATTCTACCAAATGTCTCATATATAGATGTAACACCCACATAGTATGAATCCCACAACTATGTAAGACATTTGATAAAAATTTTGATAAAATTTTTAAAATTTCTAACATAAATCAGTTGTTGAAAGACATTCATCTGTTTTTAAAGGAACCATATTCTCTCCGCTAGACAAAGTTATTTGAGCTCTTGTGATTTCCACTTGACCATAACGCGTAGATCAATCACTAAAAAAAATTAATTTAATTCGACATGATAATGTATTAATTTATTACATTTATCTTCCACAGATAATTAGTTTAATTTTTAAATAATAAAGATTACAAACTAATGTGGTCATGGTTATTATATTGATAATTATGTTTAATTTGGATGGGAAATGAATTGAATAAGGCTCCATTTGGCAACATTGAAAAATAATTTACACGTCAAAAATTATTAAAAAATTTAAAAAATCGACAAATATCAAAAAGTTAGATATTCATTTCCACTCACTCTAGTTTTTTCCATCTTAAATTTCAGTCAAAAAAAAAAAAATCACTAAAACAGTTTGTTCCTAAACAAAGTAAGAGTTTGTTCAAATCTTAAATTTTGTAAAAGTAAATGAAAATGTAGACAAATATAATTGCTTACATATACTCAATTTTTATTTTTTTTTTATGTAACTAAAAAAAGATTTTTTAAACAAATTTATTCGTATTTGTTTTCTTCTCATTTTATTGACCCAACAAAAATAGAGAAAAAAATACTATATTATATTTAATTTAAACTTTTTTATAGAGAAATATAGTAATAAAATTTCACCATTGCAATTATTAAATTTAAAATGATTAATTTATAGACAATCTAAAAATCAAGGGCAAATTACAAACACTCCTCGAGGTTTGGTGAAAATATATATTTCCTCCTGAAGTTTGAGAAATTGCATCTCGTCATCTGAGGTTTATATTTCCATAACAAATTGTTCCTTGAAGTTTTTATTTTCATACAGATTTTCCTCTAATTTGTTATGCAAATTTGACCTTCAAGGAATAATTTGTAATTTTTTAAACTTCAAAGGAGAATCTGTATTTTCACCAAACCTCGAGGGTGTTTGTAATTTGCCCAAAAATCAAATGATCGAATCATGAAATTGGGAGCATGATTGGCTCATAATTGATCAACAACACGGTCCAATCGAAAAATCCAAACAGGGCCTATGTGGGTACAAACAGTTGTAAAACAGAAGATACCAAATGACTTGTACCCACACAATTCTCAACTTCACCATATGGTTGGCGCCAAACCAAAACCCAGAACCGGACACAATTTCAAACACTACGCTCTGTGGCTCTGACTTCCTCGCCGTCGGCTATGGAGGCTTCGATTTTTCCGACCGTGTTTGTCTCTCCCTCCTCCGCCGCCACCACCACCACCATGACCGTCGTCCACGGCGGCGGCAGAGTCACCGACCATTCCAAACCTGTCATCAATCTCATTTCCAGAAATCGAAACAATCGTTCCATCAAAACTCACCGTTTCAAGACGCCGACAACTGCCGCTGCGGCGATTAACGATGTTTTGGCTGCGGCGGATCCGGATCAGGTGGCGGTTTCCTGGCAAATTGTCGTCGGCGCTTTGGGGATTTGGTAGAAAATTTAATAAACCCCTTTTTAATTGGGAGCCGCTATTCCTATTTCATTTTACTCAAAATATATTCCTTTCTTTGCATCAATACTTTGGAATTTTGATTTTTTCTGATAGTATATTTTGTGCGAAAGGTATTAATGTAATTTTAATTTTTTTAGGGTGAATTACAAACATTCCCTCGAAGTTTGGTAAAAATGCAATTACAAATTGGAACGGAAATAGTCGCTTCTTTTAGTTTTATGATTTTTTTTACTTATTTCGTTGTATGAATTATTCAAAATTTTGGAATTTTCAAAAATAATTTTAAATTTTTTTAATTTGTATATCTTTATTTTTAATGAATTTTTAAAATATTTTAATCAATCTTTTTTATTTATTTATTTAGATCTATAAATACACTTAAAAGTACAATTTTTTTAAAAATAAATTCACTAAATACTAAAAAATATATAAATTCTGTATATTATATATATTTTTGTATTTATTAAAATTTATTTATAAATATTTTATTTTTTAAATATATTTAAGCCTCGTTTGGGAAGAGAGCGGTTTAGCCAAAAAGTCAAAAAGTTATTAAAAAAATCAAAAAATCAAAAAGCTAACAAAGCATACCAAAAAGTCAAAGATTCCTTTTTTCTTTCTATTTTTTGCACATCTTTTTGTAAAAAGTTAAAAAGTCATCCCAAACATACTAATTTTTTTTACATCATATTTTAGTCAAAAAGTTACTAAAAAAGCTTGTTTCCAAACGAGGCCTTAGATGCATCTAAAAAAATGAAAAAAAACTTAATCACCTTGCTTGTTTCTAATTTTTAAAAAACACTTTTCAGAAAATTCTACTTTCTTATTTTTCATGTTTTTTTGTTTTTACTGAATTTTTTTAATATTTTAAGCAATTTTTTTACTTTTTAGACACACCGAACATAAATACACCTAAAAAGTAAAAAAATTGTAAAAAAAACTTTTAAAAATTCACTAAATATCAAAAATATAAAAAAAAATACAAGAATTCAGTACATTTTTTGTATTTTTATGTATTTATTAATTTTTTAAAATATTTTTTCACAAATTTTTTACTTTTTAGATAGATCTAAGTAAGGTGCATCTAAAAAAGTAAAAAAAATATTTAAAATTTAAAAAATATTCACTAAAAATTTAAAAAAAAACACAAAAATAAAAAAAGTCAATTTTTAAAAAATTTAATCCAAAAAACTCTAACCAAACACACTGAATTTAATGATAATTTCAATTGTTATTAATAAATGGCATATACTGGGAAGTGTCTTACGAAACATTGTTTAATATTATAATTGCGATAAAAAGTGTGTAATTGAAAAAGTTAAAAAGTGCATTTGAATTTATAAAAAGTGTCTCATAATTTTAATTTTTCTTATGCCTGAGAGGAGGTTGTTTGCAACACTCTTCTAAAAAATAAATAAAAATAAAAAATTTCTACTCCGTCGGAATATTTTTCTAATTCAGCCGACTAATTTCTAATACTAAATCTCACAAGTCTATCGTAATCCCTTCCTCAAGGAGATTCGTAGTCCGGAGGGGATTACGAATCCCCTCTCCATCTCTCAAAACAAACATGATATTAGTGGGTTCTATCTCACTATGAATCCCAATCCTCTCCATATAACCCAAAACAAACGGGACCCTAATAAATTGGTGAAGATTTTTTTTTTTTTTTTTGGGGGATTAAAATAACATAATAAATTAGTGATAAACTACAATTACAATTCTAATGACATAAAACAAATTTTTATTAAAAAAATAAACTTGTCAAATGTATAGTTTATAAAATAACATTGTGCCATTTTATTACAACATATTCTTCATTCATAAAGTGAGTGTTTTACATATTTGTGTTATTTTAACAGTTGCTCCAGGTTCACAGTAGTATTTTCCTTAATTTTTCGCATAAACCAAACTGTGGCTAAACTCTCATCTTGGTATCTATTTTATTTCATTTCGGGTAAAGTTAAAATTCTGTGTAATTTTTGCAGCTGGTGTAACGCCATTTGTGGTTGCTGGGATTGAATTTAGCAAACGAATTGTAAGTAAAATATATATTTTCTATCATGTCCCAGAATTTCAGATCAGTTAAACTGCACACAATGACCCTTTCATAACTGAAAAAAAGGGTAAATTACACAAATAATCCAGTATACACTGATTTCATTTTAGTCTTTTAATCTTGAGTTATGCTAGGGTTCTCAAACAATTTATTAAATTTTTTACCAAACCTCTCATATAAAGCGTGGAACCCACACACATGTGAGTTTGTATGGGTCTCACACCTATTTAAAAGATTTGTTAGAAAATTTGATAAATTATTTAGGATCTATCACATTTTTCTTTAATCTTTAATTTGTTTCAATTATATCTCTAAACTTCCTATATTAATCAATTGTAGCCCCTTCCCTCAACTGTTGTATTAAACAAATTTAATTCCTTATTGCTTATGGATCATCATCACTCTCTGTTTATGCTGTGCACTGAAGTTTTGACATTGTATTTACAGGTAGCTCAGAGAAAGTGTGGGGTATGTGGAGGCTCAGGACTTGTTTTGAGGGACAAATACTATTTCCGATGCCCGGGTTGTGGTATGATTTTATATCTTGGCCCCCCCAAAACAAGTTTTATTCTTGAATGTTGAAAATGTTGTGTGCTTGTTTGTATGTTTATATCATAGCTACTAATCTTTGTTGAGTATGTATCATATATTTGGGTTAGAATATAGATTCTGGAATTCGCTAAAAATTCAATATATGTAAAATTTTCTCAACTGTATGGGGATTAGAGTTCAATGGGTTGGATTATAATTAGGAACTTACAAAAATTCTAGGTGAGAGTGAGATTGAGAGGGTTTATTGAAAATACTTGTCCATTTGGTTTAGTTTTTGAAAAGAGTTTTGAGTTGTAGTTTTTCAAAAGAGTTTTAAAATTTGAAAATTTGTTTGATTATGAGTTTTGAAAATAGTTTTGGAATGATTTGTAATTTTTATTTATTTTTTTATTTTTTTATTTTTGTAGTTGAATAGATAAGTATGAGAAAATTTAATTGATTGATGTATAGAATGTGAGAGAATGAGAGAGGAGAGGGGAGAGAAAAAAAAAGTGATTGATTGAGAGTAGATTTCTAATGTATGTTTATCTCTTTGGTATGTATGTGTGTTTTCATTCACGTTTGTGGGATGTCCAACAATCTTTCTGTATTTTTTTTGTTCCAATTTTCGCTTTGATGTTAAATATCAGCTTTTGATATCTTCCTTTCCTGCCAAGGTTGATAATAAGCATTCAATTTCTCTGGCAGGTGGATTTCTCCCTTGGCAATCATGGAAACGATTCTTTTCTGGCTAGAGTCCTTTGTTTTTTCTTTTTCATTCTTCTCAAAGGTTATATCGGCATATTCTGTTTAATACATTTCATTAGATATATAAACATACTCTAATCCTATATGAGAAGATGATACCTTTGGTCCTAGTTGCAAAGAAACTGCATTCGGAATTGGAATTTGCTTGGAAGAACAAAATGAACTTATGTCATATTGTCATCGTCATCGTGATGGCTATTGAACACAACAGTGCAAGCTTTTAAATAACTATATTGAGATACATATTGATATTACTGATATGATCATATATAGGCCGATGTTTAAAAGCCTGGTATAGTGATGAAGTTGAAGCCTCTACCTAGAGAAAACCAAAACAAAGAGACTACTAGACTTGTGGAAGAAGTAGAACTACTAATTCAACATTGGAATTTTAGAGCCCAAAGAAGGGTACAGCCCATATCTTCCGTATGTTCATGCTTTATTTATTAAATTTTTTTAGATTGGGCTGTTTGTGTACTTGTATTGGGGTTTTTGTAGTTCAAGCACCAGATGTAAAACCTAACCACGAGTGACATGCATGGTTGTGTGTATGGGTTTGCTTTAATACCATTTGTAACGCTTCGTAGTTTACTCACTCAAGTAACTTGAACAAAGTAGGTATATTAATATGACCCAAAATACTTAAGCTTAAATTATTTAGTGGCAAATTAATGATATCTAACGTATCCAAAATCACTTATGCAAACTTTCAATGTCTGATGAGATCAAAATGATTCTTTTTCTGTTTGGGAAGATGGTTTGTAGCTAAAATAGCCACAAAAAACAAAATAGGCTATTTTAGCCACAACAAATAAAACATCATATCCAATCCATAATCATTACACTCTTCTTTCACAAAAAAAATTAAAAAAGTTAAAAAGCCAAAAAATCCTTCCCAAACTAAGCTTTTTAGCCTAGGCTAAAATAGTCAAAAAAAAGTCAAAAAGCCAACCCACTTTCCAAACCAACTTATTGTATTCAAATCCAAAATTGTATATATTGAAAACTTTGTATCCTAGAGATGTAAATTCAAATTCGACATCAAAGTACTTTGTAGTGGTGCAATTAGCACTTCAAAATTATGCCTTTTAAACACAGTCTCAAAATCGCATATCAATCATATTTCCGTACTCTATATATATGAACAAAATTTCCCAAACAGTTGTAGTTATGTGTTGGAGTGAGTCAAATGGAAGATTGCTTGGCCACAAGTATTTATTCATTCATTCAAGTCGGCAAAGTAGTCAAGACCCCCCAAACCCCAACTGCACGGTTTGTCATTTTCCCTGTAGTTTTGTCAGCCACAAGTCATGGTTTTATATGCATCAAGAATGTTGACTACATATATAGATACATATTTGAATAGCAGAAATGGATGACTTATTGTTTAGTACAATGACATATATGGACCATAGTCTTCTTATCCCCTTCCCTCAAAAGTTCAACGGCCACCCATTTCACTACACTTAGGGACAATTTGGAAACTTGCTAAAAAAAAGTTAGTTTTTTGGCTTTTCAACTTTTTTAAACAAAAAAGTCACAAAAAGTCGGTTTTTTTTACACAAAAAAATTCACCAAAAATCTAAAAAAATCAAAACTTTTTACTAACTTTTCAAAACACCACTTATTATTGTTGTTTTTACCATCCATTTTGGTGGAGAGGGAAGAGGGAAAAGATGGGTTACGAGGGTGGGGGTGAGATTGGGAAGGGTTGGGGAGGGTAGAGGAGGGTGGTGAAGGGAGATGATGGTTATGAGAGAAGTGTGGGGGAGGAGTTATTAGGATAGTGTAAATTATGATAAGTACTGGATACTAACTATTTGACTTGGGCGAAATGGTATTTTTGGTATTTATATACTTGTGATTGATTGTCCTAAAATTTTTAACTATTTATAGTTTAAGGATGGCAACTATCTCTATAATCTCTTGTAGTCTTTTTTATCGTATTAAAATGTCATGACCCAAATCCGCCTTTATAAGTTTAGTATCATAACCGGCCAGTAATCCTTGGATTACCAAAAACCTCTGAACAGAATAACGTAAAATCAAGGGGCTGCAGAAGCAAATATACAAAATATAACGTCCACTGAGCTGTGTAGACATACATAGGACGAAATAATTCAACCTTTATAAGCATATTTATGACATCACATAGATACAGTAATTAAACGTCACCCCATGTACAGATAACCAAAACAAATTGTTCGTTAAACAAGAGAAAACAAAATGTTGAACATTTAAAAGACATAGCCACAAGACTTGACTTGGTCCGGAATCTCCTCGGGAGGCGCAAAGGGTGGCTGAAAAAACGAAATCCTAGGCCGTCAACTTTGGCCCTGATCACGTGCCCGGTCACCTATATACATAATATAAATACTGAGTGGAAGCCCAGTGAATAATAACGGAGTAAAGGATTTAATGAATGAAGTCCATACCAGATTCAGAAATCAGAATTTAAATTCATAAACAAATTCATATGTTCATATTCTTGTTCAAATCATATACAGAGATCAGAGTTCATGCTTAATTATACGTGGTACATCCATTAGCGCTAACAAAACGGAATACAAAACAGATGCAGAACATATGGTGGTTATGAATAACCAGTTCCATAAAGGAACCTCCGGATCTGGGTAACAGAGAATAGACATGCTAAGCTCCATGATGGAGCCTCCGGTATGGGTAACAGATTGTAGACATATTAAGTTCCATGATGGAACCTTCGATACGGGATAACAGTTAACAGATAACACATGATGCAAAGGATGCCACGAATACATTGTCAGAAATTGGACAATCATTCATTGTACAGAACATAACATTTCAGAAAACAGATCTTATTTTATCATACAGAAAGTAAATGAAGTTGAACATAGCTTTACTAAGTTATTACTCATGGTTGGCTTCGGGTGCAGGCAGACAGAGCAGACTAATCAAACGTTTGCGGCATGTGACCTACATCAACACATAACAAATACACATTTGAAATACACGTTGAAATATGTCTAACCCATTATGCTCCGTTCTTAGTGTGTTTTTACATTTTACCCTAATTATTATGTTTTAATCTTGGCTTAGGAGTTCCTAGGATGCAATGAGGATGTCGAAATGTACTTGAACACATTTAACAAAACTTGCTAAAAACAGGGGTCCTGCTCGAGTGCAACTTCCCCCACTCAAGCGGACATGCAATGTGTGAAGGGACGCTCGAGCGCAACTTCTCACGCTCGAGCGCTCTGCAAATTTTGAAAAAGTACTGGTTATGCGATTTTCATGCTCGACGGACTCTCGATGGTCGCTCGAGCGTAAAACTCATGTCCCCGCTCGAGCGCAACTCTTGACGCTTGAGCGGTCTGCAAAAATATGAAACTTCTGGGAGTGTGTATTTCACGCTCGAGCGAACTTCTAGTTACTTGAGCGGAGATGCAAAAACAAAGGTGGCCGCTCAAGCGCGGAATCTCACGCTCAAGCGGAAATGTAGAACCTGAAATTTTCAAATTGCACTTCCAAGTTCCAAACTCGAATCCCACACCTCAAAACTCATCTTCTTGGGCCAAAATTCTAAAAAATACTTAAGAACTTGTAAAATATCATGACTTGAAGATCATTTCATGAAATCAAGGCCTAAAAACAAATCAAGTGTGCAACAATTCCACTTGAAATGTAAGAACATGCTATAAACATGACATATATGTAATCACTTGAGTTCTTAGCTTCTAAAACATGATCAAATGAGGCTCAAAGGTGAGAAAGGTTATGAATTCTATAAACCATGCTAGATTTACGACATACATGAGAGGAAAATCTTTAAAACAACCTTAATTTGCTATGAAAAGAACATGCATGCATGATATGGCCTTCCTACCAACTCAATAGCTCAAGATTTGCTTAATTCAACTAAATTCTCTTAAATTCTTGTAAGAGTGAGTTAAATGAAAACTTTGGGAATGCAAGTCTTACCTAAAATCCTTAATTCTTTGAATTCTAGGTAAGTCTTGGTGAGTCCTAGCTCAATTTCTTCAATTCCCTCCAACTCTCTAGCAAATTTCTTGTTTGGAGACTTCTCCCAAGTCTCTCTCTCTCTACACGTTTGAGTTCAAGGATATGAATAAATGAGAGTGTAAAGTATAAAAGAGGTGATGAGGGTGGCTTTATATAGTCTTACTTTGTGATGGTTCATTAAAGCTAATCAAATGGGTAGTAAATTAATCCAATTTAATCGTTCTGAATCGAATTTTAATTAATCCTACTATAAAATTCTAAAAATTCCTATCAACACATAAATCAAGTTAATTTCTAAATTGAATGCCGATAAGACCTTCAATTCGCAATTAACAGAAACATAAACAGATTTTCTTACGTTAAACAGATATAAACACAAATAATGCAACACGTGTAATAAATTCAGAATTTAATCTTAATAACTTATTAGACATATGAAATCATGGATTACCGTTAATCGTGAATCGGGATTGTTATATAAAAACTACAATAACCATAGATGTAGACCCAATTTGAGATGAATCATATAAACTTTATATTATTCTTTTGTGTGCAAGTGATTTATTTTTCATGAGCAGTTGTTTGTTTCAATGTTCCATGTTTTGTTGATCTTGATTAAAAGATTTCTAATGATAGATAAGCTATGAGAAAGAATGATCGAGAAGTCAAGATTTTAAGGAGAGGTGAGAAAGAATAATCGATAAGTCAAGATTTGAAGGAGAGAATATAGAGAAAGGAGAAGAGACGAGAGAGGAAGAAAAGATTATTTTGATAATTTTATAAAAAAAACTTCACCTCATATTTACTTTCAATATTTCTCGTGTATTGTTATTATCTTTTATTTCTCATTATTTTGTAATTATTTTTTTGACCTTACCATTTATGCATGCAATTCTTCCTCTAATTTTGTTCACGTTTTATTCAACCGCGGTAGATATCTTAGCCTAGTCTGGATACATACATACCTATCACATCCGACGTTGGAGTATTTAATTTTGTTGTTGACTATTTTAAATGTGCTTTTGATTCAATTTCTGCACTAACCTTTGAAGCTTGAGTTTCCACACAAATTGAACAGTACTACTGCCTAACTTTTATTCTTAGATCGTCTTTTTGTAATTAGTGAGAAAAGTCTTCTTCATGATTATCTTTGAAATTTTAGAAAGGATACAAACTTAGAAATTATGACAGGAAATTTATTCAAAAAAGTAGATGAATTGTGTAAATTAAAATTTAACT